TCTGAATGTGTATGTGTGTGCCTGTGTGAACATGCACACTTGCATATGTGAAATGGAAAAGAAACAGCAACTTGGAATTGTGTGTTTTCCCCAGTGAAGAGAACTTTGGTTGGCGGTGGGGGGACGGGCTTTCTCCTCTACAAAGAAAACCTCAAAGTGAACTGCTCAGGTCATTGGGCCAATCCCACCATTAAGAGGCTATAGAAACAGATACTGAGAAGTAGGAAGTCCCTTGGAGGAACCTAGGTACCAGTTTTCAAAGGAAAACTAATCAGTTAAAGGGGAAAAAACAAACAAACAAACAAGAAGCCTGGAGGCCCCCACACAGGGTTTGACAAAGTCCATTTCAAACAATGTAAACAAGGAAATTTTCAATGATTTGAAAAACTGAAGCAGTTACTTGCATTAATGCAACAGGCTTAGGTAAACAAAGTACTGCAGTCTGAGTCACCAGCAGACCCTGCTCACATTAATCACCAGGAACGAGAGTCTGGTGGTAACTACCTAAGAAAATAAATGATACAAAGGTCTTGCTACTCCAAGTGTGGTCCCTGGACCAGCAACATCAGCACGACTTGGGAGCTTGTTATGCAAGTTCTTAGGTCCTAACCCAGACCTAAGGTAAAAAGATCCTTGGTAAAATGCCATGAGATTTTGCATTTTTACAAGATCCTCATTTGATTGGTGTACACATTATAGTCTGACAAGTACCTGAAATGTAACCTTCTGAATGTATTCATATGCTTAGCGATCTTTTTTGTAAATCAAACAATGGCAGCCTTCCTTCTGAGTTAGAGTCTCTGGAATTTGTCCCACTGGGGATCTTTCTGGGTTTTTTTTTTTTTTCTTTTTTTCTCCTTTGGGCTGTAGTTAATAACACAGAATGTTTTTCAAGTAAATCAGTGGTTCCAGGTGGCTCTTGGATGAGAGCCCTGTAACAACGCTATAAAAAGCCAGGTATTTCTCTTATAAGTTTCCAACTTAAGTAGTCCCTGAGGCAAATCGCTCAGCTTAAGGGAGGCAAACAATTTATGTAAAATAGATGAGTATCTGCATTACTATCCCACCACTTCCATGTCCCGTGTATATCAAAATAAGGGGGAAAAGGGCCAAAATCCACTTTATTTTAGAATATTGCACCCTGACACATGAAAAGGGGAGTGTCATACCAAAACTGAGAAAAACAAATTAATCCACATACCTTTCATATTACTTAAAACACTTCTACTACCAAAAAAAAGAATACACAAAAACAAAAAAAACCTTCGTTATGCCTTGTTTTTATATCCTTCCCAGAGCTTATAATGTTACCTCTATGAATATCTGATAAATTCTCAATCCATTTACTCTAAGCAAGGAGTGAAAGAAAACACACAATGGGAATATTGAGTATTTTGAAATAAGACATTAATTCTCCAGTGGAATTATTTGCAAGGAAACTTGCAGGTTCAAATATAGTCTCAAACTTGGCAGAAAATTCCTCCAAAGTATCAAAAAAACAGCCATAATCCTGGTAAATATACTTAGATTTATGGTATTCCAAGGCAAACTTCAGGAAATACATAGTTATGTATCGTACGGGCCAAGGGCAAACAGCCCGAAGATGGGCCACTTTGGCAAGATTATTTTGAGTCAAAAGCAATCAAAACCTAGCAGATTCAGAAAAGCTCTTTACCTTACCCCTCAGCTGCCCACATTTACATTGGAAAGGGGAGCCTGTACCTGGAAGACAGTTAGTAACAAAGACTCCTCAGTACCTGAGTAATCTATTCGTACAGCAGGGCCACCTTTGTTTTCCAAACATGTCCCTGTCCTGAGCTCAGGAGGTCCTAGAAGCCTCATCTTGCTGGTCTTTAAAATGTCATGTCTGTGTGGATTCTCATATAAAACTAAACGTGGATTTCTCCTGTTAATATGTCTCATGTCAATTTGATTCTTGGTCCACCTAAAAGGACCTTGAAGGGCAGAGGAAATTCTTCCTCCCCAACCGTATCAACACATAATACCACACAGTTGGTACTATATAGCAGCACATAATACCAACCATTTGAATTGTCATGACTTAACCGGCTTTATGCGTTTGCCTTTAAAATCAGTGTTTGTGGACCTCCTGCATCCAAGTTGCTCATGTATTCGTATCTGAATGACTACAACAGATTGTTATTAGTGAAGGGGAGCAAAATATACCACCCCAAAATACACCTCTTTGGCATACTGTTTATTTTGGTCTGATTATTTTTGAGAAGGTGCAGACACGGGAATCTCTCAAAACAGAGTAGAAGTTATTCTTTTGTGAGAGAAATTAACATTTATGAGGGAAATCTCCAATGTAAGGGCATCTTCCTCCCTGTACCAGCAAGAGGAGGATGACTCTATCTCTAGAAACTTTGATCAATGGAGAAAGCATGGACTTAAATCTGCAGAATAACCTTCCCTGTGTTTACTGTGCTTTTCCAGGTAACCTACCCAAACCAGCCTGCCCACCCCTGTCCCCACATCTTCTCATCTTTTTCCTTAGCTGGGGATGGTAATTAAAGCCATGGCTTGAGCCATTTCTAGGAGTTCCTCAGTTTTCCTGGGTCTCTTCCTTGTAATTAAGAGATACGCACATTATTAAACTTGTTTGTTTTTCTCTTGTTAATCTTTTATCACAGTGGGGTCTCAAGAATCTAGAGGGGTGGAGGGAAATTCTTTTTCCTCCACTACACCAGTTAATTATGCCTTGGTATTTTGCTTCATGACATTTGTAAACCATAATGCATCACAAAGAAAATGCACACACCCCCCCAAAAAAACCCCACCGTGGCTAAATCTAAATTTCTAATTCAAAATATACCCTCTCCTCCAGTGCAGCTGAAACAAATGAAGAAGAACACACCGCAAAGGTGAGGATTCTTTAAATTCATAACCTCCAGCTGCATCTAGACCCTTACTGCCTCTGGGCAACCATATTTCCTCAGTTTACTCACTTTCCTGCTCCCCTGGACAACTATTTCGTATCTTTTCCTCTCTCCTCCAACTATAAATCCCAACCTCTGTCCTCACGTCAAGACTCATACCCTACTGCTTCCTTGACATCTCCAATTGGAAGTCTGATAACACCTCAAGTTCAACATGGTCACAACTAACTCCCTGTTCTCTCCCAAACCCAAACCTGGTTTCCCACAGCATTCTTCTTCTCGGTTAAGAGCAACCCCATGCTTCCACTGAATAAGACTCAAAGCTCTCACTCTTGGATCCCTTAATGAATCTGTCAGCAAATTATGTTGGTTCTACTTCAGAATATATTCAGAATCTAATCTCTTTCCACAATTGCCACTGCTACCACCTGGCTCAAGCTACCATCATCTCTCACCTGGTCCCTCCAATAGTCTTCTAGCTAGTCTGCTGACTTCTGTCCTTGACTCCCTAGTCTCTTCTCAACACAGAAGGAGTCAACATAAGTCAGGTTACATTAGGCCTCTGCTCAAATGCCTGCATTGGCTCCCCACTGCACTCAGGATTAAAGTCCACAGTGGTCCACAGGCCTTACAAAATGCTACCATCCTCTTACTACTGCTCTGCCTGTGGCACCTACTTCTTACCCTCACTCACTCTGCTCCAGCCCCCTGGCTCTCCCTGCTATTCCTTGAGCCTTCCAGGCACAACCCAGCCATAGGACTTTTGTTTAATTTTTTTAATGTTTATTTATTTTTGAGAGAGACAGAGAAAGAGAGAGAGAGAGAGAGCACACAAGACAGAGGGAGACACAGAATCTGAAAAGCAGGCTCCAGGCTCTGAGCTATCAGCACAGAGCCCGATGTGGGGCTTAAACCCATGAACCATGAGATCACGACCTGAGCTGAAGTTGGACTCTTAACTGACCGAGCCACCTAGGCACCTCCCAGCCATAGGAATTTTGCCTTAGCTAGTCCTTCCACCTACCACACTAAAATAGATAGATACCACATCTAAGTCTCACATTCTACAAATTTTTGCCAAATGTCATCCTCACAGTGAGGCTTTTTGTGTCCACCCTATTTAATCCTACAACCACCCCCCCCCAACACACCCTCACCTTACAGCTCTCCCAATTCCTCTCTACTCTGATTTGCTTTTTTTCTTTTTTCTAGGGTTTACCCATCTTGCAACACATTTGTCTGTCCCCCCACTGATCAGACTCAATGATGTCAGGGATCTTTGATCTGTTCTCTGCTGTATCCCAAGTCCCTTAGAACAGTGCCTAGCATATAATAGGTATTCAGCAAGTATCTGTTGAGTAGGTGAATGAAACTAAATCTCATGTTTTATTAGCAGAAAGATCTGGTTGGGCCATTATGCGATTACAGCAACTACAAATCACCACAGATCACAGGTACAGGAAAGCTCATTACACTCCTCATTCCTTTTTTGTATATGCTTAGGAATTTCTGAAATAAATGTATTTCTTCTTAAGTTAATGAAAAAATAGACACAGAGTGTCATCTCTGAAATAAATGTCAACGTTGTGAAGCTTCCAGAAAACAGCATAAGTAGAAAAAAAAAACCTGCATTTTATTTCTATTTCTAAACCATTTAATAGTTGTTAAATATACTACAAATCACTTCACCTCTGGGTCTCCAGCTTCCTCATCTCTATAACAAAGAAGGCTGATTAGGAAACCTTTACCTTTTGTAATTACACTAGTCTAGTATCTAATCATAAAATTGTCTAGGCTGTCTCTGTTCCTAAGCATTGATTTTACACATTTAACTTCCCCAGGAGAAATTCAGATTCTAGGTGACATGATTTCATGCTTGTTTTCTCACTTCTAAATTTTCTTAATTTCCACGGCTATATTCTAGGTTTGAGTTTTTAGTTAATATTGTACTGTAGGAATTCCTCTTTGAAGCCAAACTATTATTATCTTTCTAGATCCATCACTTCAAGAGCTAGAAGGCTGACACCAGCCTGCTGACCACATCCATATGAGATCTGGTGGACTGCCACTGTTTTTACCAGTTGGGGGGGCAGCACTTACCATTTCCTTCTTATCTTCCTTGAAGTGCACATCCACAAACATTTTTCCAACAACATAAGGGAGGGCACTTTCGATAAAGTTTACACATTTGTCCCACTGAGGCAACAAAGTCGTGGTCCCCTGAATTACCTGTGGGAAATAATTGATCCAGATTGGGGTTTGCTTGGATAAAACCTTTTGCTGAACAAAATTCAAACAACATGAAGGAAACAGTCTACAACACAATGCACACCCCAACCCACATACGTGCATCAGATGGTAGGGCCAATGGTGAAATGACATGAAGAAATACATTCTGCTTGTCTCTAGTTATATTTAAAAGTAAATGAAAATATTTTGACGGTGAAAATAATGTATTTATCCCTTCCTTTCAATTTTCCCCTTAAATGAAGTGTCTAGATAGTCTTTAACACCTACTGATAACTGAAGTTCTGCTAGGCAAGTCTAATATCAACCAGTGATCAAAGTTCCTGCCCAGTGAGGGCTTCCCCCGCTCTGGGCAGTACACTTACAAGTAAGTCCATTGAGAACAGGGCCCACTGTGAACAACACAAAAGGCATATTTACATTGTGTCATAGCAAAGGACACACCCAGAACCAAGTGAAAAACAGATGTAAATGCTTTTTCCATCTGTCCCAATTAAGCCATTACAAGAAAACATTTACAAACAAGTAAGGAGGTTCCAAAGCAGAACTTGGAAGGTTCAAAGGTTTACTCTTGGTGATGAAAGTAAAGAAATAAATATTGTTTAAATCGTCCTTGGAGGTTCGAAGTTCAGTGCTGGAAATGCAAACTGAAGGCAAGGAGCAAGGAAGGGAGGCGCTGAGCATGGTGGGGGCGCCTTTTCTTTTTTTCTAATTTTTATTTAATTTATTTTTTAAATTTACATCCAAGTTAGTTAGTATATAGTGCAAGGAGCCTCCTAAACAATGTTCCAGCCAGACTGCTGGTGCACAGCAGACAGGGTTAACAGTAGAATTCATCTACTCCTCCCCTTCCTTCTGGCAACACAGTTCCTCTCACAGGTAAGCAATGAATCTATTTTGAAAATCTCTAGAGAAAGAGATCCTACAACTATCTTTGGCAATTCAAGGTCATATTTAGCACTTTACACTCAAGAAACATCCCTAATCATACCTAACCTCAGATTTTCACACACTACTTCTTACACCATTCTCTCTCATTCTTTTCACAGTACAGTTCCAAAGCAGCTGGGTACTATCTTCTATGTGATCCACAGGAGTTAAACACACACACACACACACACGCACACACACACACACACACACACACACGTTTATATATAAATATAAAATCTACTTCTTTTGTAGCTTAACCCTTTGATATGGCCTCAAAATATAGTTGGTTTATGCTGTTCGGCACAAAGGTCAATAATCTAGTGACTTTGAGGGCCAAAATGTATCCAAAACAATTGTGTTATTGCTTAGTAGTAATGACCCACCAAAAATTCCTGTACTCACTTCTAATAACCAAAACGTCTGTGAAATGAAATCACTGCTTATAAAATTTGTCATTCACTTCTAATTGAGAGAACAATAAATTTAAAATACTTTTTATAAGTCACAAGCTATTTAAAATGCAAAAAAAAAAGACAGCCACAAAATCATTAGTCCTCTATTAATTGGAAAATTACACAAAAGCTTCTGACACAAAAACAAAGTAACACCTATGTAAGTGAAGAGGAAAACAAGAGAGGGAAAGAAGCAAAGATCAAAGAACCAGGTCAGGAGGAGAGAGGAAAAGTGTTTCAGGCAGTTGAGCCAGGTCTCTGAGGAAATTTAGGTCTCTTTGGCCTAGCAGAATTAGGATAAAATCAAAGACTGAACAAAAGTCAAGATAAAGTTAAAGACCAAAACCTATCCCTGAAGATGAAACTTCACCATCTAATATGTTTATCATGTATATTTTGAATATTCAGAATACCAAAAATGAAAAATAGTTACAAACAGATCAACAGATCACTAAGATATATTAATATTGTAATTAAAGTGACCCAGTTAAAAACATCGGGAAAAATGGGAAAAAGTTGATAAGAGGGAGTGGAAACAATACGATGGTCTCTAAGAGACTCTTAAACACAGAGAACAAACTGAGGGTTGCTAGCAGGGTGTTGAGGGAAGGGATGGGCTAAATGGGCAATTAATGAGGGCACTTGCTGAGATGAGCACTGGGTGTTATATGTAAGTGATGATGAGTCATTAAATTCTATTCCTGAAATTACTATTACATTATATGTTAACTAACTTGGAATTAAATTTAAAAAAAAAAAAACCAGTAAGATTGTCCCAAATATTGCTGCAAATATCTTTACATGGCCTCATCAAAGTACAGCTTGAGTGTGCTTTACAGTAAGTACATAAGGTTTAACTTAATAAAAAGAAATAAAGCAAAAAGAGAAAAAAGTAGAACTTGGGCTGCAAAACTCCCTCTGCCCCATCCCTAAAAATGATTTTTATTGGATTAGTTAATACACGACTGTTCTGGCATGTATAAGTTATCCAATGATAATCTTCTTCAAACTTACCCGCGAGAATTCAAGCCACCTATACTGAAAGCGCCTGCTAAGGTTTGGAATTCTGGAGTAAACCATCCTCCACACCAAATAGTTGGCAATGGTCCTGTTAACAGAGAGAAATGCACATTTATTATAATTAGGCTGATATCGGATACTCTGTAGAACACCTTAGGGAAAACTGTTGGCAAAGCTCCATGGAGGGACCTCTTGCTCATACAAAACTATAGAACTTGTACTTGATAAATGACATAAGATGATACAATGTCAAAAAGCTCAATCCAAATTGGCCAGCTTTTCACCACTTAATACAGAGAGATGAAATGAAGATTTCAGCCCGAAGCCTCAGCGTGAACATTTTGCTTTCCCTCTCAGGGCACAGAATCCACTGCTGCCTAGTCCTTCAGGTCTAGAAACTGTTCATACCCCGGAATTATTAGGTGACTTGATAAAATGCAGATGAATTCTTACTTTTGGAAACAAACAGAAATACATTGGCTAAAACCACTTATCTAGACTCGCACCCTGGTTCCATACTTACATGAGCTTGAGCTTGTCACTTAACCTTGATCATTTTATCCTTTCTTGTCACACAAGGAGGGTGATCCCTATCTTATAGGGTTACTGTGAGGTTAAAATAAATAACAAAATCCTGGATAAAGAGTAAATTCCATACTGTTTGTCGTCATTCTCTTCCAAACATATAAACAATTCATGTAGTGCCTGTAACAGATATTTCTAAAAATCCATTACATTTTGTTCAGTGTCGCCTTTTTCTCTAAGCAAAAGATGCCCTGACCTCAGAAGGATACATGATCTGAGTTAATTTCTAACTCAATAGTGATGAATTTTTAATGACCCATCCCCTCCTAGCTGTGCCATTACCATGGTGACTAATAACACACATTCCTGGGATGGCTCTTGGGTCACACAGCCATGTAAGAGCCATGTGACACGATGATGATATCTGGCCCATTAAAAACAACCCACACTCTCATTTGCATGGCGCTCTAACCCGGTGGATGCGCATTCTCAGCAATTAAATATATTTCACCATATATACCTAGTACATAGTTATTGTAATACTATAAAAATGGTTATTTTAAGGGTGCCCGGGTGGCTCAGTCGGTTAAGTGGCTGAATTTGACTCAGGTCATGATCTCATGGTTCGTGAGTTTGAGCCCCATATTGGTCTCTCTACTGTCAACACGGAGCCCACTTCAGATCCTCTGTCCCCTTCTCTCTCTGCCCCTCCCCTGGTCACTCGCTCGCTCTCTCAAAAATAAACATTTAAAAAATAGTTATTTTAATTTACATAGAGATATACTAATGGAATAACATATTAAGAATGTTTTTAACAAATACAGAAATAGGAGTTTCAAAAGATAAAATGAATAGGTATTTTCAAAAGTCATTAATTAATCCTTCAAATGCTATTAGTTAATTCTTCAAGACACATTATCGACATAGATTAGGCTAATACAACAATTACGTGGATATAAAGCCACACTTCATATGGCTGTCTTGACTATTTCAAAACATTTTTAACAAATATATGAGCTCTCTCTCCCTCTCTCTCAAAATAAATAAATAAACATTAAAAAAAGATTCAGCTTTGTGAGAGGAACAGGGATGGAGCTGTGCCTAAAGACTAGAAGGTATAGGACTGTGAGGCAGGATTATGAACTCCGGATGGGCTAAATAATTAGGAATTGCTTGTGTATTGGAGAAAATGGTGAGCAGGGTCATCACTCGCAGAGACAGGCACAAAGTCTGGCCACAGAGAAGACAAGGCAGGCAGCAGTCAGGGCCCAGTGTCTCGACTGTCAAAGGAGGCGAGCCTGACTGAACCCAACGCCAGGTCTCCACGTTTCCCCTAGGCACAAGAGCTGTGCTGGATCCACAGGTGAAGAGTAGAAGGAGGTCTGTGGCCAGCAGATACGCTTACATGAGTTCAGAAGGTACTCCCTTCGTGGGACAATGATGAGTGAGATTCAGTGGGGAGGTTGTTGAGATAGGCCTGACGGTGGTTGCTGAAGAAGCAGTGCGGTGCAAGTATGCTGGGGTTTGAGAAGCATGGGCACTGCCACTATAGGAGAGGTGTTCTTGAGCCTGTCTTACATATAAAGAAACTTGAGGCCCAGAACCATTAAGTAACTCCTCATGACCACATAGTCAGTGCATCTCCAACTTGGTACGAACACTTGAGGGGTTCAAAAAGTCCACATAAATGCTAGGCCACTTTAGACCAATGAAGTCAGGACCTCTATATAGGGTGGGATCCACCATAAATAATGTTTTTAAGTTTCCCCCAGCTGAGTCCAATGTGCAAACAAGGTGGAGAACCAGTGTAATAAGCAATGGAGGCCAGACCATATAGACGTGTGTCTACCTTGAAAGCCTGTGTGCTTTTCCCGTGCTACACAGTGATAAATTAATGCCTCTAATTCAACAAAGATTTCCTGGCCAGTCAAAAGACCCCAAATGCTTTGCAGAAATCTGTGGGTGCGAAAAAGGAACAGCGTGTGAGGCCTTCATGGGCAAGGCATTACTAAGACGACAGTGTAACAAGACCTCCGTGAGCTGGAAGATGGAGCGCAGGGAAGCTCGCACAGCAAGACAATGGTGCTGATGAGCTGCTCCAGTGCTTTATAAATATACCGACGGAGTGCTAGAAGCGCAGCTTTCCAGTGCTAATATTACCACGCCAGAAACAGATCTGACCGTAATGACTGAATCACTGCCACCTAATGCTCACATATATCAAAAAACAAAACAAAAATCAGATTCAGCAACAGTCCTTCAAAATAATACATAATATCTTTTTTTTTTTCAAAAAGCATTTGCAGCAGCATGGTAATTTCCCCAAATGGCAATAAATAAAACAGAGGAAAGTAAAACATCTCGGGAGAGATCCCGCCATTGAGAGCGCAACATGAAATAATTTCCCAAAGCCTCTGACTGGGAAGAGATTTTTGAAGAAGCTTTTGCTGTCCTTTGTCAATTAGTGACAGCTTACATTTGTTTGCATTTAAGAGAGCATTAAGTGCCTTTTTTGATCCTCATGACAATGCTAGGGGATGGTTATTATCCTCATTATCAAACAAAGAAAACAGAGTTCAAGGGACTAGCAATTACGTGGCAAATCCAGAACTAACATTTGCTCTTCAGGTCCTCTAAGTCAAACTACCTGAGGTAAGCCAAACAGGTTCTTCTCAAAGCTTCTCAAAGCCAAAGAGATCTTCCCAAATCCTAGAGGCTGCTCAAAGGTACACTTAAGGCAGTGGTTCCAAAGTGTGCCCCCAGACCAGCAGCTACAGCATCACCTGAGAACTTGATAGAAAATCCCTAGGCCTCACTTCAGATCTAATCAATCAGAGCTATGGGATGGGACCTAGCAGTCTATTTTAACAAGCCCTTCAGGGACTGCTGATGCTTGTCAGGCTTGAGAACCACTAGTCTAGGAAAACTCTATCTCCTCATCTTTCTGCAAACACAGCTAAACTAGGACTTTCTAAATCCCAGATCAGTGCTTCTTAAACTTTCATGTGTATATGAATCCCTTGGGGATCTTACTAAATTGCAGCAGGTCTGGAGTGGAACCTGATTTCTGCATTTCTAACAAACTCTCAGTCCAGGCCCATATTGGTCTCCATGGGTCATACTTTGAGCAACAAGGCCCTAGATCACCCTCAGCAGCGCTGAGCCCTGTAAGAGGTCCACATAACAACACATTTTCCAGGTCAGCCTCTACGACCCTATGTTCATTAAAAATCATCTCACTGTACACCGTGCTTGCTTTATATTAAACTAATACTGAAGACAGGAAAGATCACAGAGACTTGGCAAAATCTCCAAGGGTTTGCTTTAGGCCAGCCTGCTTAAAAAACAAAACAAAACAAAACAAAACAAAACAAAACAAAGCACTGATGCAGATGATCTCTAGGAGACCAGGTCTTGCCAGGAAGACCCCGAGAAAAATCTCTATAAACCCATCCTTCCTCGGCCTCTCCCCTCCTTCCATTTTGCTCCTCAGACCAAATTAGATGGTTGATTGTCTGAGGTAGCCGCAGGTCTGGAGTCGGGACAGATCTGATGGGAGGACAGAAGGGGAGGGACATCTGCAGCACCTCTCAACCAGTGACATACTAGTAAATGTTTCACAACTGGCTTTCCAAGAGGGGGGGGGAAAAAAACACTTGCTTTGTAGAATTTGCCGATTTCCATGGTGTGAATATTCCCACCAGAGTTGATTTCAAACTGTTCACATGAGATCACTCAATAGTGAGCTAGGAAGAGACGGGCATAACTTGAGGGACCTAGCACATCACAGCGTCTTCACCCCTTCCACCTTGACCGCCAACTCCTTTTCACTACAGACAGCCTCCATCTTGTGCCTCCAAATGGCCCTGCCCTGGCCACTGACTCCCTGAACTGCAAGGGCCAATGCAGCCTCTGGCACCACCTCTGGGAGATGCCATTGCTCTAGTTTTGCACCATGCACCATCATTTGCCAGGGAGCAAGTGCCACTGCCCCCACAGCCATTGGGTCAGAAGGAAAACCCTAATACCACGAGGCTGCCAGGGGGCATGCTGTAAGAGGGGAAGCAGCAGTCGAGCAATGACCAGCCGATACCAACCCAGGATGGCCTTTAACCAGGAAATGCCAGGGGAACTATCTCCAAAACTAGCAGTGAAATGTCTGAAAAGGGTCTCTTTTCCATACAGGGACATGTATGTAAGAGACAGGACGTAGAAATGAGGGTGGCCCAGTTTAGAATCTCAGCTCTACCTCTGCATCAAGGTATGTGCTGCAGAAATCCCTTTCCCTCAGCTTCTTCATTTGTAAAGTGGGAACAAGACTTGTTTTGTTTTTTTTTTTTTAAGATCAAAGATAACTATTTGGGTGCCTGGGTGGCTCAGTTGGTTAAGCGTCTGACTTCGGCTAAGGACATGTTCTCACGGATTGTGGGTTCGAGCCCTACGTAGGGATTTGTGTTGACAGCTCAGATCCTGGAGCCTGCTTCGGATTCTGTGTCTCCCTCTCTCTCTGTTCCTCCCCCACTGACGCGCTCACTCTCTCTCTCTCTCTCTCAAAAACAAATAAAACATTAAAAAAAAAAAAGATCAAAGGTAACTATTAATCATAATGGTGGTTAACATGAATAAGTCTTCAAAGGTAGTGACATGATGGGGAAAGATAGGGTAAAATAGCTAGAGAGGGAAAGGTTAGGACTTGAGATCTCTGAATGTAGAAAAAATATATATATTTTAAAACAGTGCTGGGAACGTCTGACCATGAGAAAAACTCCTTCAGGACTGACCATGAGAAAAGCTCCCTCAGATCTAAAGTTTTTCTTAAAATTGTAACAAACACTACCTACTCCCCTGTCATGTTTCCCACAGAAATGAACAACTCAGCACCTACAGTTATCAGGCCAACAAAGAAAAAAAGTGGGGAGGGACGGACCAAAACCCCATAAAATAAAGTCCTTTGCCCATAGTCAGGGGTCCTCACTTTCAAATGCCCCCTCTCCGGAAAGAGAGCTTTTGTGCTATTCTTACTTTTGCTATTCTGGCTTTTTAATAAACTTTTGCCTGCTGCTAATTTTATTTGGTGTCCACCTCTTCATTCTCTGAAGCAGCTACACAGTGAACCCTGGGTACTGAGGTAAAAATCCTGCAATGGTAAGAGTCCCCCCCCCCCAAAAAAAACAAACCACTAACTGAAAGACTCTCCTGGGGTTCTCTTTGAAATACGGATTCTGGGGACTTGCCTCAGAACTACTGCACCAGCCCCTGTGGAGGAGGGGCCCAAAGGGCCCAAGTGACAAGGTGATGCTGCCAGCATTGCTGGTCTAGGGAGCACACCTTGAATAGCCAGTCTCCACCCCACACAGACACTTACCTAGCTCTAGAGTCAACTTTCACTTGGAAAATTTTCATAGGATCACTGCTTATCTCTAAGTGGCAGAATTTTCAGTAGATTTATTATCTCTTCTCTCCCTTTTCTGTATACTTTCCTCAATGAACACATATTCCCTCTATCATGAGAAAATATCATCTTAAAAGGAAAAGCAGCTCTTCCAAAGTGTTGAAGTGTTCCCACAAGTAGGGATGGATGCTGAAGTTTATTTCTAGGATTTCTGCAGGCATCTTTTCTTTTTTAACATAAGTCCCGGCAAGATAGCCTTGTCTGAGTCCAAATAAGAAAATATGATTTTTAATTATGGCCTGGCAATTAGCCTAGTAAACTGCCTTTGAAAATGACTTGACCATTCTGTGCTTCATCTTCTGTAGTCAAATCTGAATGGCTTCATCAAGATGTACAATTCTCTTTCACGGGAGATTTCAGGATTTCCTTGTTTTGTAGTGCTGAAGTAGCAAAGCAACAAATTCTAAAACATGCTTTAAAATAAGGAAAACCAGACAGTTCCTGAAGTTGTTTCATCCATCCAATTTTTCCATGGCTGTCAGAGTACTCTTATTCAGCACAGGGGCTTCAGTAATATTGCAACAAAGGGGCTTAAAGGCTAAACAGAAACCAGGAAAAAAAAAGGCAGCAAAGGACAAAGAATGAACTGGAAAAAAAAAGATATTCATATAGAAAGCTCAGAAAATAATATATATAACTAGTTCCCAAAACTAGGGAACAATTTAGGTTTTCAGACAGAAAATATGGAGAAAGATGAGAAATAAGGAGCAAAAACATTGTGTATTTGCTGCTATCACAGCAAGTAAATTACATCAGATGATCATTTTGGCCAATTTGTCACAAAGGGCACCACGATTTTCCCTAAGACTCTTTTGATGTAACTTTCTTTAACAACAGTTATACCAAAGATATTAGAGGAAAGGCTTTATAATGTAAAAAGAAAAACAAAAGTCACAATAAAATGCAAAAGAAAGCTCTTACTTCTTCCGCTCAGAGCCTAATATCCTAAACAAATCCTTAAAGTACTGCGGGACACGGACAACCACGTTCTCTGAAGGGTCAATGTCTTTCAGACCTGGGTAGAGTCTAGAATCGATGACCTTCTTGATGTAGCCCAGCCAGTCAAACTGAGGAGAGAAAAACATCGACTGAGAGAGCACCTGTTGGGCAGCAACCAAGGAGAAAGGCAAATATAGTTGGCTGAACATAGTCCATCGCTTGTAATGGATTTGTGACCAAAGTTAGAGATGTAACTGCTCAAATCTACAAAAGAAATGACTGGTCACTGCCACCCAGACCTACTGCCTGAATCATAGATTCCACACGTGCTCTGTACCATCTGCCCAGACAGCACACCCCCTCACACGGTGACAGGCACAGTCACTCACTCCCTGGCCCCTCGGGCACCCTCCCTCTCTCCTTAGCTCTCCCTCCTTCATTCTCTACCCCCACCTGGACTCCTTCCTCCCATTCCTTTCCCCACACACTCCATCCTTGTGCTTACCCTCACCCCTACCCCCTGCCCCCATTCACTTGTGTCCACACACAGATGCCCCACATACTACTGGCCTCCCCTCTGGTGCAGCCTTTCTTACACAGGGAAAAATAGGCAGCAACAACAAGTAACATGTGTCCCCTCTTCAGAGCATCACTAACTTGGTGTTTTTAACCGGCTACCCCAAAAGTCATTTCTTGTCTTTTTCTTTTTTTCCTCCCTTTCCTGTATCCACTATTGAAATGGAAAAACCAGTTAGTCACTTGTGGCCTCCCCTGTAGGCAAGGGATGGCCATGGTTCCCCATCTTACTCAAGAAATAAAGGGAAGATATGTGGGAATATCCTGGAAAAGCTTCATAGTTGTTTTTTTGTTTTTTTTTTTTCCTGCTAAAAGAAACAGACATGGCTATCCTGGCCCTTCCCCTTTCTTCCTGACCTGATGGCAGGTGTGAAACGTGGGGCTGTGGCAGTCACCTCGCAGCCATGAGTCATCACACAGGAAGTCAAGAAGCCAACAGACTTAGGAGAGTGGAGTGGAAAGAACAAAACGTTGGTCTTTGACAACACTGTTAGCCAGCAAGAGCAATACCAATAGCCACCTACGTTTAGACTTTTGTCATGTAAGAAAATGGGCTTTAAGTTTTTAAGCCACTCCTGGGAAGGTTTTCTGTTTCCTACAAAAGAAAGCATCCTGAGGCACAAAGGATATCCTATGTGGTGAGTGACAAATAGGATAATAACCAATAAGAGTGGTAGGTTTCACAAGGCAAAAGTTTACACACACATGATGCAAAGTCACTCGTAAAATGACCAGTTAAGATAAAATTTCCTAGATCATTTTCACCAACCTGAGGAATCATAGCACTCAGCTGGGAAATGTTCATTTTGTTATACATGGCCTCACTGGTTCGGTTTTCATGTGGAATCATTATCTGTTGGAAAGAGGCTTTGGTTATTTTTTCAAACA